TTGCGGATTTTGACATTGAAAGTTTACTATTTAGATGGTGGAAAACATCTTGATTGCTCTTTTATGCATGTATTATAACACATACAAAGGAAGCAATCAAGTTGAAAAAATTATAGGTACATTTAGTATTTTATGGCAAGATATTTCCAGACCATCCATATAATGAGACATCCATGCCGTATGTAAAGAATCACATTCATATAGAACATATACCTAAAACTTGTGAATTAATTGTCATCAAGAATTAGTATTGGTGAAGGACATGTTATCGTCTGGGTCAGTACAGAGACCATCTTGCTTGCAACCGCATTGGCTCTATGTTCTGTAACGAAGGGAATGCCATGAGCTTGGACTGCAGTCAAAGTCAGGGAAAGCACCAGGTGCTGAACTATTGGTATGTTAGACTGAAAAACGTGGCTTAAGTCATAATAGCGCTAACCATAAAATGCTAACAAACATATTTTCCAAGTGCTGTAGAAATTTACCTTTAGTGGGCATATGACCAAACATAGTCACTTCCATCTCTAAGCATTGGCGGGCATATGCTCATATATGATCACACCAATTATTGCCATTATATTTCACCATCTTGCATTTGCTTCAAGTAAATGGCATCATAATCAGTTGATAAAGCAAGTTTTTAACTATGATACTAGCAACTATCATGGCCTTTCCTACAGTTTTTCATGGGCTAGAGCTGCTAAAGTGGATATGCTGAGAGCCCAAAATGCCGTTTTGCCATTTCTTGAGAGTACTTAGTTTTTAATTTTTTTTAAAGGCCTCCCACACTCACCATTCCAACAAAAAAAAGAATTGATTTTATTAATTAAAAACAGGGAATGGTTTCATGTCAATGATCAGGGCCCCGACCTTAACACCTCTGATGGTGGCCTACACGGACTCCGAGGGTCACTGAGCTGTGACGCGAGCGAGGAGCGGGCCCACGTCGAACTTTTCTCTGACTGCTGTTAGAATGCTAGCCGCATTGCCTCTCTGCACGGCCAAACCCAACCTTTGCTCCAACCATAGAGTCTCTCTACGTTTGCCGGACAATTCCGTAATGCGACGGCCAATCTCTGATATTAAAGGACCAGTCGTTTCACCATATGTGCCCGTCATTTCTAATGCGACTGGCTCGAAACGATACCGAGCTGCCAACGCCGCATATTTAAGTCTCTTGCTATCCACCGCCGCACGAGCCGCAAACCCAGCAGAAATAGCCGAATTATTGACGTGCGACTCAGCAAAAGTGTTGACGCAGGTTGCATCCCAGCACAAACACCTCCCATTAGAAAATGGGAAAACCGTTAAGCCATCTGGTCTCTTACCATCCCCTCTGTCCACTCCAATGGGTTCAAGGCATGAAGGAACGCCAGCGCTCTGAAGAGCCCTCCTGATCACATCGTTCAGAGCCGAGTGTCTTGCAAGAGCCGAGTACTTACAAGAAAGGCCATGCAGTCCTCGTGCATCCATCCGCTTTCCGCACCGACAAGTGTGGGGTTCGCATACATTTGCGCCAACTCGAAGAGCAATTGAGACGCAGAAGGAGTGTTCCAAGAGCATAGTATGCCGGTCGCGGACACCAAACTCGACCCCCCAAAGAATAGAGGGGACGGTTCCGAATACGCTTGGTACAGCATTCTATAAATTCCCTGCGCTTTCGCCCGCGCAGCAGCCAGGAACACGTCACGTCGCAGGCTGTTGAATGCATTCGCCATGTCAACCTTGAAAAACACTCTTCGGCCCGAGGCGTGCCCGAGGTTTAGCTCACACAGACAAAAGAGCGCATCAGAGCGCTACGTCCTACATGACGTAACTTGTACATGATCTGTGATTGGTTGGAGCTTGTTGGCAGGCTGTCCCAAGGAATGTGGGGGGCTTTTTTTTACTCCCATTTTAATTATGGTACCATATATGGTAACTTACCCGCAAAACGCGACAGGGTTAAATAAAGGAAAAACAGGTACAAATCACAGAAAATGTCACTTATTCTACATCTACTACAAAGGAAGACAAGGACTTTGAATTACTGTTAGTAATGGATGAGTAGCTACACTCTGCATCAGACTGCAAGCTTCAAACATTTTACAATTATGTCTATTCCAAGTGTCCCAAACTAGTACCCAATTTCCAGGGTTAATTTGGGATGCTTTTATTTTGCATCTGACACCTTACAAATAGCATATGGAATTTGTTCAGAGATGTATTATTATTATGGTTGACCTCTAACTATAAATTGAGCCCAAATTTGTTTATGAAATGTTTCATGGTAAGAAGTTATTAATGAAAAATGCTCAAAATCATTCCTTATTATCCCATTTGATGGTATATCTACTATTTCAGCCGCAAGTGCAGCTTGAATGAAATTATTGGAACTGCAAGATTCCAGCTAGATAAATTATTTCCAGTCTAATTGTTAATAAAACTGTACAACAGAGCAGAAAGATTAAAAATGTATACAAAATTTGTCACTTTGTAGCTGCAAAATTTCATTCATATATAGGAAACTTCCAATCTAGCCATCTAGGATTGAGTAGAATTCACATTAACCCTAGTCCCTATCACAGGCTAGCATAGAACTATACAGAAATTAGAATTTCTGAAACCAGAACATGAAAGTATTGCAAATTAGGTACAAGATACATATACTCATGTGTACTTTGAATAATTTTTTATAGGTACTGGAGGTGGAGGTCTGGAGGAGTAGTATAATGCAGCGGACAAATTTAGCTAATATGGTCACTACAGTCCAGTCTTTTTACACAATTGTATTTCAACCTCAATTTGATTCAATTTCATCAAGATATAGCCTCTTCTCGATTACTAGCTACTTCAAAAAGGCTAAATAGCATATACATTATTGCGGTAGGGCGTAGGCCTATTGCCTGAAGTATAATTTTTATTAAATGATTATATTTCAATTCTTGGTAACTTAGGGTCATGCAACATTCCATTATTATGATTATTTGCTTAGGGGCCAGGCCGCCAGGGTGCAGAAAGTTGGTGAACAGTAGTGCCCTGGTGAATATTTGATAAAGGTAATTGGCAACATCATATGTCATCATCAAAATCTATGTATACAGTATACAGCAAATCATAGTGGCAAACAAGAGATTTTTTAGAATCAGCTCATTTTTAATTTCCTCATCTACTCAAGATTTAAACCAATTTCTTTTGTAAGATAATGCTGGTATCCATGATACTTTGCTGGTCTACTCATAGGACTCAAAAATGAACTAGAGGAAGAGTCTAAAAAAACTCTCTGCTTTGTCACTATGCAGCAAATTTCGCTAACATATTTCTCTTCAAAGAAATCACAACACAAACGATTTACTATTATTGAGAATTTGAGATTTACTAACTCTCTTATTCTCTCTATTTGTGAACTTTATTCTAGAATAAATGCATACCTTCCCAGCATTGATATTCTGCAGCTGGACCTTCCGACCGCTCTCCCTTTTAGTGTTTTGATCTGAAATGGAAATAAATCGTGAGTAACTACGTCAAACTGCGTAAATGATTTATCAAATAAATATCACAATCAATATTAGCCATCTTTACTTACTAAGTACAATAACTGGTCTTCCACCGCCCATCATCATTTTGCCGGATTGTTTCACGAGCTGCACGTTGCGACAAGAATCGTGTATGACTGTGACACACACCTTCGGGTTTAAACATTGCGCACAAGCAAAGCAATATGAAATTTTTAACAGCAAGTCTTTGCACTGCACAGCTAATAAAACGATAAGGATCTTTATAAAATAGTTTGAAGTTTTTCGAGAAACTGAGCATAATATCCTTCCAATTTGTGTTAACTCAAAAATTCATATTGATGAATATTTGCGATTATTCGGGAAGGTTCTTTGTTGAAGTTTCATATCATTATGCCCAAGATTCGCATGCTTCATCTTCAAATGAAAGACTCAATTTATTTGTTGACAGAAATTGAGTTGTAATTACCGGCGACGGTGGTCAGTCTAACGAATTCCGAAACCTTTCGTATTTCTTAGTATGTGCAATGCTTAGAAATATTAATTTATTCAGGTAGGCCTAATTGCCTAAATTTAAAATTTGTCACTTATATTGAACTTTGATCAGTATTCAGTAACAGATCACTATACGGTTATTCATGTTAGGCTATTAGTGAAAAATTGTTCCTCAGATTTATCGTAACTAGAATTTCGATGTTATGCACGTCACTGTCGCTGTTTTTTTCAGACGGAGATGTCCTCTGTGTCAAGTGCAACATCTCGAATGCAGTTCTAATAGAAATGGGGATTCTTTACCAGATGCAACAACAACCAAGTCTAAAGATTCAAACACGTCAGGAGGCCAAGATCATGAAAAAGGTTTGTTAACTTTCCTGCTACTTAGGTACTAAAGGTAGACCTAGAGAAGCAGGTCAGTGCAGGTGTTGAAAATATTCACTTTTTGATATATGATTTTCTGTATTTTTTTGCAGCTTTAGGATTTCTGCTGCCCTTAGCTAATTAGCTTGACCCTTAAATCATGTTAAATGCACGCATTTAATGTGGAGGATAAAAAAATATTTGAATGGTGATTCTATTTTAAAATGGGTCAATATACACATAAATTGCATCAAGTTTGAAATTTTTCATTTTATTATATCAAATTGATGGTTGTATCATATATGATACATTAGATACAAGCCACACTCAGGATGATGTATGTTTTCGGTGAATTTTCTTGCGCATTTTCAATTTTTTTAAGCTATTGCTGTGCACAGTTGGCGCAATGTAATGAAAATTGATTCACTTCGCGCACGTGTTCGCGCAATCCCGGCCATCAATTCTACGTCGCGCTGCCGCGCATGCCGCATGAGCAGTTTGTGGAGGAACAGACATAATACTCACATTACTCAGTAGTCAGTACAGTATGCCTTTAATTATCTTTCAATAATATATGATTTTTCTTGATATGGAAATTTGGTGAATGAGAAATCTAGAACTTTATTTTAAAAGAAATTTTCTCCAAAGTCATTTGTGTTGTATTGTGTTGTTCTGTGTTGAATTGTATTGTTCTGTGTTGTGGTGTTACTGTTGTATTGTGTTGTTCTGTGCTGTGTTGCGTTGTGTTGTGCCTTGTGCCTCTGGATCTTCTTTTTTCAATCATTACTTTTTTCACTTCTGCTGTGGCTGGCTTCCACAGTTATTGTGCCGTTACTATGCATTTCAGATGGGCTGTTGACTTCTATAATTGTGATTGCAGAATATGTGTTAGCAGAGTCATCACTGTCTATTAATACAATATAACTGTAGGAGAAAACTCATCATATATTTGTAAACAGGTATTATTCAATAGCAGAGTCATCACCGTCTGAAAATACAATATAACTGTAGGAGAAAACTCATCATATATATGTAAACAGGTATTACTCAATGAGGAGTAACTTTACTACTAGATAATGCACAAATCTGTAAATATACTGTGGGGGTCGCCCCGTCTAAAGGTCAGCGGACTGGCCGGTATAGTACCAGCTAACGGAAAAACAATAAACCGGAACTCAGGAAAACGGACCAAGCAGAACCAAGCAAAAAAATATATTAAATAAAATAGTGGTACATGAAGATGAACGTAAAGGTTAATATGTTAGTGATGGGACAGCCCAGGGCTTATGGGTGATGGGATGAGCCTACCCTGTGAAACCAAAAGAAAACCAGTAGCCCAAACTGGCAGAAACTGAATAAATGGTGAACATTAACTTAACTAAACTGGGCTAGAATAATAAAGAGAAAACTGAACCAAAAATAAAACAAGAAATAACTGTCTTGAAATTGGTCTGGTGTCCAGCCTGGTTGGCCTGGACCAACCTGCAGTTCAACGGGACCAAGTTTGAGGTCCTGAGGTACAGAGGAACCGGAAGAGCTGGAATGGATCACCGCTACCTGGCACCTGACAACTCGGAGATTGAAGAGAAGCAACTCGTTCACGATCTAGGAGTGTTGATGAACAATCAGGTCAATTTTGGTGATCACATACCGGAAATAACCGCAAAAGGTTGACAACAGATGGGGTGGATCTGGCGGACGTTCAGATCGAGAGAAGCGGAACCGATTATCACACTCTTCAGAACCCTTGTAATACCTATCCTTGAATACTGCTGCCAGCTCTGGACTCCGTTCACACTACGCACAATACGGCAACTGGAAGGAGTCCAACAAACCTTTACTTCCAGGATCAGAGGGATGGAGAATTTTAACTACTGGGGAGAGGTTACAGCAACTGAGTCTGTGCTCACTGCAGAGGAGACGGGAGAGGTATGTCATCCTGTACACAGGGAAAATGATAACCGGAATGGTGCCAAACTTTGAGAGCGAGACCTTCAAGATTCAGACATATCACAACGAGAGAAGGGGGAGACTGTGCAAGATCCCTCCCCTGCGTAACAGATCCGCAGTCAGATTTCAATCCCTGTGAGAAGGATCACTCTCCGTGGCAGGACCAAGGCTGTTCAACGCCCTACCAAGGGATCTAAGAGAGGGGGAGTTCACCCTGGAGACCTTCAAGAGACAGCTAGACGTGTTCTTGAGCACAATTCCAGATCGACCTCCCCTGCAACACTACCAGCGGCGAGAAGCAAGCAACAGCATCGTGCATCAGGTGGCCCAAATGAGGGCGGATAAACGATAATCAGAGGCGGTGATCCATCGTGGCCTGGGACTGCTATGTCCCAAACAAATACTAAGGTTGGATCTGTCAGGAGAAAGCAGTACTGAGGAGCAGAGGAAGCAAGAAGGCGGTGGTCTTACCGGTGATGGACAGCAAGGACTCAACTAGAGGGTGCTTGGCTCTACGTGCATGTGGCTCCAGGCTGGCTCAACACCTTCACGGCACGTGGTCCAGGCCAACCCAAGACTCTCCTTGAGCTTGCGCAGCAGTGGCCCAAATACTAGCCCCAGATTTGTCCAGCTCAGCTCTCTGGTTCACTCCTGGATTGGCTCCAGAATTTGCTGCTCTGCAAAAATGCCAGGACAGAAGAACATGAAACCCTATTCAACAATCTAACACTTGAACCCAGAAACATTATCCTACCTAATGTACAGTTCTAAAACCTCAATGCAAAAAGGATGATATTTACAAAAGAGTTTACTAGTAAAAATAAGGACTAAGATGCATGGCGAGAGTGTTCCCTGGACTTACCTATAAAAGAGCAGCAATAGTCCTAGCAGGTAGGTGGCAGGTCATCAAGGATGTCAACATGGCCAGAATCCCAGAATGCAGGTTCATTTACACTTCCACCATTAAGCAAAAATCAGGGAAAACTAAACTGGCTAGTTGGCCATCTTTAGTATTTAAACACTGTATTTACACTAGTATTACAACACAACTAGTATTTAAACACTGGGGATAACAAAAAAGAGAAGAGAATTAATGCACGCAATTTACAACTCCTTACTTATTCATATGCCACCATGTTGCCCCTAACAAAAATCTATGACTTGTTTGTATCAAATGAATATATACGGATTGCATAGGTAAGTAACAGATATCATGCTTGAAGACTTACCCTGATTTTTGGCTTATTGCCAAATGCAAAAGAAATAATTTTCTTGCCTCCGGAATATGATTCAAGAGAGTCCACATCACTGATATAAGCGGCTAATGGGTTATTGATGTTGCCAGCATCACTAGAAGTTTCGCCATCGTCACTTACTTCAAAGAAGAGAGCATCCAGAATTTCCTTCTCAGACAAATAATGTGGCATCAACTGTGAAACAACATTTATTACTTGCATTTTGCCTTTAGTAGATGCATAGCTGCTAATCTGATGACAAATACATTTTTCTAGATATATAATAACTAAACATACCTATTTGAATGCATGAAGAAACATAGAATGGCAGAAAACTACTGTGTTGTATCATTAATGATACACATACATATGATGCAGACAAGTTGCCCATATGCAGTTGCCATATATACAAGTTGCTCTGATTAAACAAAAACAAATACTTGTAAAGACTTATTGAAGGCTTCCCAATAATCATGACAACATATAAAATGGGGTTGATCTAGATATATAATAACTAAACATACCTATTTGAATGCATGAAAAAACATAAAATGGCAGAAAAATACCATGTTGTATCATTAATGATATACATGCATATGATGCAGACAAGTTGCCCATATGCAGTTGCCCATATATACAAGTTGCTCCTATTAAACAAAAACAAATACTTGTAAAGATTTATTGAAGGCTTCCCAATAATCATGACAACATATAAAATGGGGTTGATTTTTTCTTACGTCTGAGAGAAACGTAGAAGCCAGAATGAACCAAGAAATATGGGGCTTCCGCACACTGCCACCAACCATGCCTTGTTGCTAACTGGCGTTCATGTTTACCGCACAACACAACACTGATGTAACTCATTTTGTTCTCGTTCACTTTTGTATGTATTGTACTTGATATTAGATGCGCTGCAGGCAAGTAGCCTGATTACCTTAGCATTTATAGGCAAAAATTTGCTTTCTATCATTTATGATACGCAGTGCATTTAAGGGTTAAGTTATCAATGACTTATGACAGTAGATATATTATCATGACGTATGGGCTGGCTAACTGCTAAAATCTGAATGATGCATAAATTACCACTCACCCAGGATTGAAATTTTCCTACTTAGCATTTCAAGCATAGGAAAATCTCTCCCTTTAGGGCCTCAACTAAAGTCTCGCCTGGACACTCACTGGTCTAACCTGGGCACCAAATACGACCTGGACTGCTATCACTAAACTTGTATTTGAAACCCACCACGCACGTTGCTAAATATGACGTATCACCATGATTGGTGAACAGGCCTCTAATAAGGCCTTCAACACCTCAACCCTTCAAAGTCAAAATCAAACTAGAGCTTTCCTGCCATTTCTGGAACTGCAAAATTCCTGCCAGATGAATTACCTAATATCTAATTGTCAACAAAAGTGCACGATCGGGCTGCAAGTTTCCAAGTGTATTAAAAATTGGTAACTCCAGAGTTGCAAGATTTCAGCAACAAGTAGGAAAATTCCAATCCTGCACAGCATGACTGAGTACTCAGGCTACTTGTTAGTAACAGGCTGTAAAGCATGGCCAATTTCATGCACCAAAGACTCCAAGGTGGATGCCACTGGATGCCAGTTGCCAATTATGCTTCTCCATTAGTTACAATTGATGATCAATATGGCCAATGCACCATATTGATCTACATGCTACAATTGGAGCTATGCATCATAGCGCGTTTTGATGGCTATGAAAGCTACATTTCAACACTAAAGCATACGTGCTCATAGTCACCTGAACTATGCTGAGAAGGTGATGGCTGTGAGAAGGTTTTATTTGAGCAC